GCTTTCTATGGGACATCTTCTGCAATTGTTTATTCGTTAATGCAAATGAATTGTCATTACGTTATGTATTGCATCATTTCGACGGAAAACTACTGAGCCAAAAGGATACTCTGGAAAAACTCGAAAAAAAATTTAGAATCTTATAAAAAAAACTCCTGTAATAAACTTTGAAAAGATAGAAATAACTTTGCTTGATGTTGCTCTTGATAAACTTAATATAAGTTAACGCTATCTCTACAAAATGTGTACTGGAATATTAAAAGGAAATGATTCATTAAACTTGTTACGAAAGGATCCAGGGAAAATGAGTTCTTTCAGGTGATTAACGATAGCAAATAGAATTTTGAGATTATATGTTTCAACAAAAGAGACCCATCAGAGAGCTTGAGAGTTTTAACAGAAGTATATTATTAGAGTACACCTATGCGCGTGATTTGGTATTAATACTAGGTCATCTTGTCGGTATGGGAGGCTCAACAATTTTACAGCATAATAAAAAAAATGTCGATTTCTGCCTGAAGAGTTAATGAGCATAATAGATCAAAAATTTTCAAAGAAACTGCATAATTTGGTCCTTCAGAAAAAATTTTGGCGGTAATGTTGGCCTACATCAGAAAGCATGTGGAAAAGTTAGACCTTCGTATATAAATGAGGACAAATACCTAAAGTAGAACGAGCTATTCATGAATTTAAAATTCCTACGATAAATTTCTAGGCAGATGACTACATAGATCTAATTGACTGGCATGCATGTATTTAAGGTGCTGATTTTCGGACGTTCCTGCTGAAATTGGTATTTTAGGATTCCCTTCTCATTCACAGCAGTAGAGAGCTGCTTCAAATTAGTTACTGCATCATTAGCTGCGGTGTGTGACAGTACTGATTGAAATGGATTCGTAATATAAAGAATAGCATCCATAAACGCATTGCCCAAATTTGAAACCAAAAGTCGAGATCTCCAAGTTCTATAAGGCAATTATTCTAAATGTTAGGGAAAAAACAAAGGGTAGAACTCCATATGAAGCACCTCTATGCCGTGAGTTTTCACACAGAAAAAAGAGCTCCCAAAAAAGACTCTCTCTAAATTTCCACACCAAACCAGAGGTACGACGTTAAACTCTCGAAAAGTTAATCGTTAACTAGGCCTACATACAAGGCGTATTCAAATTACTCTGTTTCTAACATACCATCTCCTATCACAAAGCTGAGACTGTGCCTCAAGTTTTCATAAAAAGAAATTATCTCAATACGGAAAACTCGCTGCTTGAATGTTTTCATCCAGTTTTCATAAAGCGACTCTTCATATAGATTTGTAATAAATAATAAAAGTATAATTTTCTAAAGAAAAATTTAATTGAAAAATGTCAATCAAATACAAGCTTGAAAATAGTGTATGTTAATTGTAAAATAATGTTACGCTGAATATTGACTCATAATTATGAATAGTAGATTCTGGATGCAACAAATGCGTCGATTTATGACAAAAATTATCTTTTAAGCCATTTTATTTATAAACATTGAATCCTTTGTTTATCTACTTAATTTTAAGATTACCGACGACTGAGAATATAAAGAAATTCTATGCAACTGATATCTGAATAATATAAATATCATTAACAGAAACATTATGGATAAAACTTACGAAACGCCCTTACATATTTACTAATCGCTACATGGTAACTAAAGTTAATCAGTAGTACACATAAACATAAATCTATAGGGGACAAAAATAAAGACATAAATCTGTAACACAAACACATAAACATGTAGGGGAAAGTGCTGTACCTTGGCCAGGGTTGTACCTCGTCCAAATGCCGATATATCAAAACGAGAGTGTAGAGAAATTTCGTTTCCCCTCCCAAAATGTTTAGTTTAGAGTGGCAACACTGTCATCTTGCATGTGGTCATCTCGGGTTATAAGTTTTCAACTGAAATGAAGAAACAATTTTTCGGATGCTGGCTCAAGTCCTTAGAGGTGTTGAATTTTCCTCCTGTTTTCAAGAAGAATATTTTTTTTATTTTTCACCTTTTCCCCTTTAAGCTCCATAAATGACACACACATTGAAAGGATTTTTGTCAATAAAGCATAAATAATTACCTGAGAGTAAATTAAATGATATGAGAGGAGTTACTGTACCTCGGCGAAATGCATCGTACTGTACCTCGGCCACCTGTAAATAGCATAGTGCAGTGTTAAAGTGGGTTTTAGATAAATTTTTGTCGTAAATAAGCACACAAAACATTATGCGGGATTGTTAAGGGTAGTGAAATTCCTAACTCAGAAAGAAAATGTATTTGCGTAGCCAGATTTTGAATATGTTTTCAGTATAAAAGTCGTAGATATTGTCATCATTTTGCCAGCACTATTAATTTATCACCGAGGCTAATATAAATTTCCTATTTTATTTTATAACTATTTTATAACTATTTATTAGTTTAGTTTATTCCTAGTTCGAAGAATTGTTTTAAAATTTATATATGTAATTTGTTTTGTTTCTCTATTAACTCTATTATTAATAAAGGAGGAATTATTTTTCTGCTCATATAATATGTTTTGTCAAAATTTAAAAATTATCTTTCCAGTGATGTCAATGAGATTTTCGTCCGAATTTTTTTCTAATTTTAGCAATTTTTAAAAAAAATATTTTTATACATGATTTACAACAATGCTTTTGGTTGTTGCAATCAACTCAAACCTTCTTCATTGTTTTCATAAATATTTAATTATGTGTTTCTCTTCCAATCTTGAAAGATAATGAATGAAGATTCTGCTTATTTTTTCATATTCTTTGGTAATAGCGTAATGAAATTTATTTCATTTTTTAAGCATCAATTTTTTAGAAAGCTGTAAATATAGTCCTCTTAGATACAAGGGAACCATGAATACTAAATTATGCAAAACGGATCAACTGAATAAAACGGAACAGTATTCTCGGCAAGCAAAGTGGTCACCGAAGCCGGCTAGTAGTTACACTGTGATTTTTCTTTTATGGCTTCCTTTTTTTAAGACTAGGAGTTTTTTCCTATTCTGAATAACTTTAAAGCCACTAATATAACTTGCTTTTCTAGTTATGCTTTCTAACTAGTTATCTACATATTTGTAAGAAAACCAACATCCTTTTTCAGTTGTGATATAGTTCATCTATCATATCCACCTAAATATTGTGCAATGATTTTGAAAAGTTCAGTTTTGTACCAAATTCAAGCGTGATAATCTCACATTTTGTTGCCCTGTCCAAGATACACCATAGGGTGGCCAAGATACAACGTAGTGTTGTAAATAGGCCAAAAATGAAAGATTTTTTTAAATTTTATATTTCTACTTGATAAGTTGAAGGAAATATTAAGGGGAATTAAAAGTCTGATTTACTGATGCTTTTAAAGCACTCGAAATTTTCGGTTTTAGACTTGATTTGACTACATTTTTTTTCAAATGAATAAAAAGAGACCGAGGTACAGCACCTTCAGCTACTTCTGAAAAACGTTAAATACTTCTATTTAATAATTTATTTCCAAGTTTCAGCATTTTCATTTTGGGCTATTAAACCTACACTGCTTGATTTTTTAATTTTTAGCCGTAGTTAAGTATGAATAAGGAACGTTTGATAGGAAAAACAGTTAAAAATTTAAAATTGAACTTAGATATTTAATCCAAATTACCTTATTAAACTGGATCACTAAATTGCCAATTAAATTAATTAATTAAACTTATTAAATTGTTTCATTAAAAAAATTAACTTCAATTAAAATATATTAAATAAAATTTTAATTAATTAACGATTCAATAATATACATTAATTCTAAAAGATAAAGGTAAGAGATGCATACATTGTATAAAGAAGGTATCATTTTTTAGAACATCTGTAGTTATCTCTCATGAGAAAATTAATTAATTAAACTTATTAAATTGTTTCATTAAAAAAATTAACTTCAATTAAAATATATTAAATAAAATTTTAATTAATTAACGATTCAATAATATACATTAATTCTAAAAGATAAAGGTAAGAGATGCATACATTGTATAAAGAAGGTATCATTTTTTAGAACATCTGTAGTTATCTCTCATGAGAACAGCATTACATATATCCAAGAAATAAAGCTGTTATTATTTTTTTCTTTTTCGCTACAAATTGAAACTCCTTATTGTTACCCTAATTAAAATTTGAACCGTATTTCATTTTAACAAATTAATTTCAAAACTAAATATAATAAGAAAAATTGCACATTGGGATGTGGCTTAGAATGAGATGCCCATTCTTTATTTTAAATATGAGAACTTAAAACCAAATTGTTTTTGATAAATCTAATTTAAATTTGCTTGACTAATTAACATTGCTTTTCATATTCGCTGTTTTGATATATTGTTGTATCTACTAATTTTAATTAATCTTCTTTGCGCTCAATCATGCCTTATCCTTTTTCATTTTGCGTTTAGCAAGATGACGAATCGAGATGTAATCGAGCTTCATTCATTGTTTTTAGATTTGAAATATTTGCATCATTCTTCTTAGTACCATCCTTTTTCTCCCTCTTCTTAGATAACTTAAGGTAGGTGAGTCAAAGGTGGCCATAGTTAAGCTTTGAGGACTTTTCAAAATTTTCTGGTTAAGTGTGTGTGGCTGAAATTTTTTTTTTTTGTAAAATTTTACCTTTATATCTAACACATACCAAGTATACTTTTCTTTGTAAAATAAAATTTAATTATTTTTATAGTACAATTTCAAAACTGTAGCTGGTGGGCCACCTTTGGTGTATAGTATTCCAAACGTGTACCATATATTTTAATCATTTTTAAAATGTGAAAAAAAATACTCGGAAAACTATTTTTACTTCTAGAACAGTATTATAATGTTCAAAACTTTATGTTTATACTTATGACAATAACTTATATATATAATAACTTATACTTATAACAATTAAAAGAATTGATTTAAACCTAAATAATTGATTTAAACCTAAATAATTGATTTACCTAAAAGGTAGAAATATTAGTATCCTACCCTCGGCGGGATTCGAACCCGCAATCCCCAGTTTAAGAGACTGATACTTTATCCATTATGACACGAGTGCTCGAGCGCGCGATGATCGAATATAAAGTAAATCCGTCCATCGTTCTCGTTAATATATAGTTTTGCCTTGGAACCGATTCGTTCCGATTCATTTCAGACGCTAAACTGATCTTCATAAAGTCGCAGGTATTCGATAACGAGCCGCCTAAAATCGAACGAGAAAATATTTTTATAAATATAAATTCAGAATATTAGAATTCAAAATTAAGCATTACAAAGATCTAAACTAACCGAGGGCCGCGATGGCCTAGTGGTAATGTGTCGGAGCAGAGGGTTCCAGGTTCGAAACGCGATTCCACTCAAGATCCGCCATGCGTGGCGCCTGTTGCACGCCAAATCATAAGCAGGGGGCCAAATGCCCCTCCGCTGGTGCGGTGAGGAAGCTTGGAGAGGGGTGCCAGCTCAGGCGTCGTCCTAGTCACCTGACCGCCGGTCAAAATTGCGAGGTCAGTCGCAGAATATCCCTCTTGTTGCTTCAAAACGAAACGTTAAACTAAACCCTGCAAATAAACAAAATAAAATTTGAAAAACCAAAAAGGACTGTTACAATGAAGATAAAGATTTTGATTTCTGTTTATTGTAATAAAATGATCTGAAATATCGCATTATAGGCCTAGGCCACCGAGGGAATATTATTTGACTATTAAGTCATTCCCTTGACAGAAAATTTATTCATATTAGAACTGCTATGGCGAGTGGCACTTTGAAAAAGTTCGCCATTCGAGTTCTCTTCCATTTTTTTCCATTTTATTTATTTTATATTAATGTGTTTTAATTTTTATTGAGCATGATTCTTGTTGTTTGATTGTATCTTAATTGACTAGTTGATTATAGACAATACTGTTAATGCAATCACTGGATGCTGCTGCGTTGCGCGCAAAAGGTATATCATTATCACTATCGTTTACTTCTTCTGTATTTTTTTGTAATTAAATATCTTTCTTTTGTATTTTATTGGAAGTTGTTACATTTTTGCACCATTCTGTTTAATGCTAAGTTTAATTTTTAATATCTCTTGCTAAATTATTTCACTTGTACTTGCAGTATATCAAATACATTTGTTTATATGTTCTGTGACTAAAATACGAGAAAGTAGAAATCTTTATATATATGATTATTCAAGAAGGGTTATAGCAATAATTGTTCAGTAATTATAAAGTTGTGTTCAATTATTTAAAAAAACAGTATTTTTTTAATTTAAAATATTTTAAATTCTATTAATATTGTCTGAAATTATAAACATAATAATAAACTAAAATGACTATCATATATTATTAAAAAGTAGACATATACCATCATATTGTGCAGCGAAAGTAAGTAGTTTATCGCACTTTGAAGCAAGATTCGACAGTACGTCGTTCGCGTTAGTAAATCGTTTTTGATCAGAACCTTGAATGACGAAGTAAAGAGGTTTTACTGCACTTATATATCAATCTTATACAATATACAATACTTATATACCAATATCTTTTTCTTTTATATATATTTGGAGGCAAGAATATAAATTTTATTGAAACCAATTAATATCCCCTATGATTAAAAAAAGTTTGTGTAATAACATTTATTTTTCAAAACCACATAATTTTTATCTAGTTATTTCATTACCTAAATAAAACTAAAGCCTATTGGTAATTTTTAAAGCGAAATACGTTATTTCAAAATGAAAGCATCATTGGAATATCTTATCTTAATTACAGATCATTTTATCCTGTGATAAAATGAGCTTTCCTCCAACGAATAAAACGAGACAACCTTCTGAAAGAACTTTTTAACATTATTAGTATTATACCTTCTTAAACTAGGATTAACTATCATTAAGTTTGTTGTAAAGTAGGGCCTCTTGACCTGAAAAACAAGGCAATAATTTATTGAAATGTGCTTTAGCATTCAAATAATTAAAGGAGTTCGTTAGATGTTTTCCTTTATTTTTTGCTGCTCGTTTTTGCTTTTGTAACTTCTTATCGTTAAGAAAAACATTTCTTCCGAAGTGACGTCGTTAAATAAATATTTTGCTCTTTGTTCCGAATGCAGACTAATACAGTAACCATGACAATATGTCGTGAGTTAGGTTTAAAGAAAAAAAATTCGAATCGAGAAAGAAAGTTTTAATCACATTCATAATGAAAACCAAACTTTCTAAGAGACTTTGTTTAGGAAACACTGTTTATAATTTGAAGAGTTTAATTAAGTAATTTTGAAGGTTGCAAAATTCTTCTTTTTTGCTCGACGGTTTTTTTTCCTTCTTTTTTTAATTCATGTAAGTGTTTAAACACCTGTAAAAATGTTTGGCGCTTTTTTTGGGAACGATGGTTCGACAGATTTTTTGTTAGTGCATTCATCGCATTTATTATAATTAATTTTGAGTGATTTCAGAATTTAAAGGCTGTGTGTGAATATTTTTCTTTATTTATTTATATATGGGTCTGATCTGAATGAACTTAAATTATCTGACAAATATGAAAAACTTAGTACACAAACAAATTCTTTTTTATTTAAAAAATTCGTTGCTTTCTAGAAATCACCTGAAAACAAAGTTTACATTGAATTTTTATTTATTTGATTATTTGTCGTCCAAAAAAAGAAAAATAGGTTTTTAGAGTAAAAACTTTTTTTCCACTGTATAAAATAAAACTGGGCTAACAAAAATATATAAAACTTAATTGTTTCTCAACTTAAAAAGCATTTTGTTGTTTAGAATGAGCATTTTATAGCAACAGTTTTTATCTTTATTATTGTTCCACCAAAAATAGAAAGAATAGATATTTAATTAACAAGATCTTTAAAAAAGACATTCACCTCTCTTCATACTTATTTCTTATTCTTACATTTAATTTTTTCCTTTTCGACAGATTAGAGTTCCGTAATTTTAAGATTGCAGTGTGTATGATTGTTCACTTTCCATTTAAGAAATGCCTACTTTCTCTATTTAAAAAGGTATTCCAAATATAAATCTATTTATTCAAGCCCGTTTTCAATTTTTAAACTGAAAGCAAAACACTGTATGTGAAAATATTTTATTTGAAAAAAGTTAAATTCATAACTAAGACCCCATTTCAGAGAAAAAAATTTTTAAATCTCATACATGGGGTACGGCAATAACAGCAACCTTACAGGTGATCGAAAAGAGTGACAAATTTTATATTAGATTGACTTATAAAGAGGACAAGCAACTTTCCTATGTCTTCCTCAAAATACCCGTTATACGATGTTTTACATTTGCTCTACCAAGTAATCTGGAGGGTAATCAAATAAATCAAATTGGACGGGATTTGTGAGAATTCATAAAAATCAATAATCATTCAAATAACAAGATTTCTATAGACCGAAAAATGGATTTTCTTCTCTCATCTCAAGGCATTCCGAAGTTTAGTCAACTCTCTCTATTTCATGACGTATGCTTCTCCGCTTTTATAAAAGTCATAGTCAGAAGTC